AAATTTGACGCCATTCCGGGTTGGTTTGATAGGTTTCGACGCAAGTTCTAGAAGTTGTGAGATTTGAAAGTTCATAAGCTTGATTTTTGGTGCGATTTGTTGTTTCGGCATTGTTTTATGTGATTTGAGATCTCGAGCAGGTCCGTGTTAGGGTATGGCACTTGTTGGTATGTTTGGACGGGGTCTCGGGGGTCCCGGGCGTGTTTCGGACGAGCTTCGGATGCTTTGCATAGTTTTGAACAGGTCTGGTTCTGGTGTTTTCGCACCTGCGACCATGGAGCGTAGGTGCGGCTCTGCTTCTGCATGAGCCTGGCTGCTTCTGCGGTCATGAAGGCCTGGGAGCTTGTTCGCTTCTGCGGAGGCTGGCACACAGGTGCGAAGGCCGCTTTTGCGGTCCAGCGATCGCACATGCGAAGAATCTCGCTTCTGTGGCTTCCCCTTTCGCTTCTGCGGTGCCGCTGGTGCAACAACAAATCTAGAGATGCGGTCCCAGGCCTGGTTAGCTGAGTTCGCCGATGCGGACTCTTTCTCGCAAATGCAATTCCGCAGATGCGGTTTCTTGTCCGCTGATGCGGAAGTTCTAGCAGAAACATTTAAGTCGAGGGTTTGGCCATTTTCTTCATATTTTGAGTTTTAGACTTTGGTTTTGGGAGCTTCTTTTTGGATTTTTCAAGCAAATCGATTGGGTAAGTGTTCTTCTCCTAGAATTTAATATATTCCATGATTTTGTCTTTGTTTTATCATTTAATTTGTGTTTTGAGTTGAGGAAAATGATGGTTTTTGAAGAAAGTTTTCAAAATGAAAAATCATGATTTGAGGGACTTAATGGTATCAAAAATTGATAATTTTAGAATGGTTGAACTTATATCGGAATGGTGTTCGGGTTTTGTGAAATTTGTTGGGTTCCGAGGTGCGGGCCCGGGGTTCGACTTTTGGATCGATTTTAGATTTTGATAAAGATTAAGGCTTTATGATCCGGAATAGTCTCATGAGTTTTATTTGTGCTTTGAAGTTATTTTGGTTAGATTTGAGCCGTCCGGAGGTCTTTTCGCCCGAGAAGTTCATTTTTTAGTATCGATTTGTCTTCTTTGAGGTAAGTATCTTGCCTAACCTTGTGTGAGGGATTTCTCCTTAGGATTTGAGTCTTCTACGTTGATTGTAGTCCGTGTACGCGAGGTGACGAGTGCGTACTCGGACTTATTTGTGGAAAAATTTGGCCTTTTAGGTTTCTTAGGTCCTTATATTCACTGTTTATGAAGTTGTTCCTGATACGACTGAGTTCCTATTTACTAGATTCACCTCTACATGCTTAAATTAGAATTAATTGCTTTAGGATTCACTCTTATTGCCTATTTGACTCTTACTTGACTTAACTGAAGATTTTACCTCTTCTATTGTCATGCTATCTTTTCATAACTGCTTATCTTTATTTGAAATTATCATCATCTCATCCTATAATTGTTTAGTCTTAATTGAGGTTATGATTATCTTTCCGCTGCTTATCCTTAATTAAATTGTTGAATATCCTCGTAATTGCTCAACCTTAAAAGAAGTTTAGATATCCTATATATTAGTTGACTTATCTTTGTTTGGAACTATTTGACTTGTGCTAGCTTCCTTATTGTTGAATTGTATAATGTGGGATCGTTGCTATATATTAGTTTTCCCTTGTTGATCTGTTCTCTCTACGCCTAGCATTCTTTACTGTGGTTATTCTTTGTTAACTGGTTCTACCATTTTCCTTGTGATCTAAAGTTCTTGAGCTGATTTACTTGCCATACTTTGTGTTATTGTCATTGTTGTTGTTGTGCTTGTTGTGGTGAAGCACGAGGTTTTTGCCGTGCGGTTGTTGATATTGTGATGCACGAGGTTTGTGCCGTGCGGTTGTTGTTATGGGGTTGTACGAGGTTTCTGTCGTGCTATTGTTACTATTGATATTTGCGCATGCGGCGTGACAAGGTGGGATATATATATATATGTGGGTTGCGCATGTGGCGAGACAAGGTGAGAACATTATTATGCACGTGTGGCGAGACAAGGCGGGCATTTACTTTACTATTGCGCACGTGGCGAGATAAGGTGGGCTATGTCAGGGATTGATTGTGATGATTTGTGATGGCCTGGGGACATTCTTGTTGTTAACATCCATGTAGTGGTACACTTACCTGTGTGAGCTTTATCTTGTGAAAGTTGTGAGAAAACATTCTATGTATTGTCCGTTCTTTTCCTTATGCTTATTTGTTGGTATGGACTTTGTTAGGACACTTGCACAAGCATACACGTAGTTAAGCACCCTTATCGTATAAGAGGTTTTCTTGATATTGTTGAGTATAGATGCACACCCCTGTTACTTGCCTTCTATGTTAAAATGGCTCTATTGGCACGTGATTCGTCAGTGCGCTTATGAGGTGTTATGAGGGCACAGGATGCCGAGTGTTAGGGTTCAGGTATTGAGACCCATTATTTATGTCGTCCGAGGTTCGGCACCTCGTGGAGTTTGTTTGACTAAAACTTGATGTAAAAGCGGTTGTAATTGCTTAGTTATTACTTGTCCTTGCTGTATATGTGGTTCCGGATTTAGGTAGTATTCCATTCACTAGTCTGTGTCATTCTTATGGTATTTTGCTAATACTTGTTGTTTCCTTTCTAATTGAAATTACTGTAATATTAGCCGTATTGCGCAGTCTTTATGTAGATACCATATTCAGCTGTTCCTATACTTATACTTGTTCAGTTTATTAGACCAGTGGGTGTCTTGACTGTTCCTCGTCACTACTCCACCGAGGTTAATCTTGATACTTACTGGGCACCGCTGTGGTGTGCTCATTCTAGACTTCTATACATTTTTGTATAGATCCAGGTTTTGATCACTAGTAGCAGTGCAGACCGTTGCTGAGGAGACTCAAGGTAAACCTATTGCTGCGTTCGCAGGCTTCGGAGTCACCTTCCTATTTTATATTCACACTATTTCTATTTATTCCCAAACAGTTGTATTTAGAAGTTGTAGCAAACTCTGTAGAGCTTATGACTTGTACTACCGGTTTTGGGGTTGTAAATTTTAAGAGATTCCTATTTCAATTTAGATGTTATTTAAATATAGTTGTTGTTTCATCAAATGTTAGGCTTACCTAGTCCCTAAGACTAGGTGCCATCACGATACCCAACGGAGAGGAAATTTAGGTCGTGACAGGGAGAAGCCAGGGGTGTCACCTCCTCATCTTGGGTGTCATAGCCTTCCTTGATGGCACTCATGAGGTTGAGGGGAACATTATATGTTGCCCTCGTTTCGTTTCCTTGGTTATCTGCCACGGAGATATTTGTACGCACAAGAAAAAAGATAAACTTTGTGGTTTATTATTTTAACAAGTCACGTGAGTTATGGATCTAATGGAAACTAAAAAATTGGCTGAGAAGATCCCCACAGACGGTGCCAAACTGTATGACCAAAATTTAGATCTAGGTTTATACAATCAAATTTTATAATAATGTTGGGTTAGTCTTAGCCAATATTAATATCCAAAAGATAGACCAAATATTTTTGTAGTAAGATCCCACGTATGCTATTGAGTGGCAATAATGATATAGTAAATGATTCAAGAATATGAAAGATAGCAATAAATAACAGTAAATGACATTTAAGTAAATAAATGGATAAAGGTCACCCCAAAAAAGGTGAGATTCCTCAATAATCCTTCTGATAAGGGTAGATAATGATAAGCTTTTTGAATATTCGGATCCTCCTTGGATCGAGGGAGAAAACATAGATAAAGATATGAGAAAAATGTGAACTTTGTATGTGTATGACAAAGGAAGAATCATCAGAGAATGTCAATGTATTGTACTTTACAACGAATGTCTAATCCCCTCTATAACTACATATATTTCTATTTATAAGAATACATGGGCCACAAAACCCTAAATACACTACTAGAAATTCGGTAAAAACCGACCAAGAAAAAACCGACCAACTTTGGTCGGTAAAAAAATCGGCCAAAAACCGACCAAAGTTGGTCGAATTTTCAAAATATTTTAATTTTTTAATTTTTTTTTACGAAACCGACCAACTTTGGTCGGTTTTCTTAGGCGCAAAAATGCGGAAAACTAATTTTGAGTCCCGCGAAATTTATTTTTTAAGAAACCGACCAACTTTGGTCGGTTTTTGCAATTAAAATAAATAAAAATTAATATTAAAAAAACCGACCAACTTTGGTCGGTAAATTCGGCCGGTCATTTTAAAAAATCGACCAACTTTGGTCGGTAATTTTATTTTTTAATAAAACCGACCAACTTTGGTTGGTTATTTTCGTACGAAAATACAATTAAAGAGTATAAATAAATAAAAAAGGCAATCTTAAAACAAAATGCACCAATGGTCTAGTGGTAGAATAGTATTCTGCCACAGTACACACCCCGATTCGATTCCCAGACGGTGAATCTTTTCATTACATAATTAAAATACCGGCCAACTCTGGTCGGTTTTTTTTTGCAATATTTTTTTTTTGAATTTAATTTACCGACCAACTTTGGTCGGTAATTTCCAACCAACTTTGGTCGGTATATTAAAACGACCATCAAAATACCGTCCAAGCGTATGTGGTCGCATTTTGGTCGGTAATTGGCCATAACCGACCAAAGTTGGTCGGTTTTTTGGTCGGTATTTACCGGATTTTTAGTAGTGATAGTACGATTGGGAGGAATATTCACTGGAATATTCTCTGGGGAACCATCATCACAGATTAGCCGTTACTACTTTAATAAAGGGAGTGCTCGTCTTCGCCTTCGTCCTCTGTTGAGCCACCTCGACCTCGTTGATGACGTGTTGTTTTCTCATCACATCGACCTTTTGAAGCCAAATCATTGTATCATGTTGACGACACGTGGCAGCCTTCGAAAGCTTCCTTAATATTGACTTGGTCTACATATAATTATGGTAATTTTTAGCCCATACACACAAAAGGGAAAGCATGAGGTTAGTTTTTAATGACAAAAAAATGCATACAGTATTGCGGTAAGGGAAGAATACATTTCAAATCTCCTGATGAGGCTTACAATTAATAAGTCATGGTCTGACCCTTGAAACTTTAGGCTCGTATAAATGGGTACTTATCTGATTTTTATAAAGTTAGAAATTGGAATTATTCTTCTTCTGTTTCTTTGGAACATATCTCTGTGATTTAGTGAGAGGGTATCGAGGATGAGTGAGCCACCAAAGTACGCGTATCCCTACCCTGCTCAAGGTAAATCCCTATAACTTTAGCTTGGTGAATTAATAACATAAAGTTGTAGGGTGTCTTGTATGTAACTTTAATTTGATGGTTTTTTAATTTCCTATTCTTGACTAACGTACTTTAGTTTTAGTTCTTGTTCTTGTGGTAAAATCAACCTTCCCATAGCTCTCAAGTACTAGCTAGCTCCCTCAACCTTTTCTTTTCTTTTTTAATATAATCCCTTTAACATATAATCTATTTGATTTTGTTAAATGGAAACATATATATGTTGCTAGGATATTATCAAGGTCCTCCAGTGATGCCGCCACCACAATATTATACAGCTCCTCCCCCCAGAAGGGAACCTGGCTTTCTTGAGGGATGGTAAGTGGCCGTTTTTTTTTAGAAGAGTTTGCTTTCAGCTCCAACTATAATTACATATATTAAAAAAAAAAAAAAATTATTTAGAACTTTAACTCCAAATCTTGAATTCGTCTCTCTTATTTCGAGGAAAAAAATGGCCTAAAAGTATTTACTTCAAGTTTTTTAAATGATGTGTTGATGCAGTCTGGCAGCTCTGTGTTGCTGTTTCCTGATTGATGAGTGTTGCTGCGACCCTTCCATCCTCTTCATCTGTTGATATTTAGTATTTAATTTCTAGCTATCTCTTGTGAGAAGATATAATATTGTACGTGTTAAACAATCTCTTAATTGTCCTTGTTTCAAATTGTTGTATCAATCAGCTTGTTTCCGTAGATAAATCTACATAATTGTCTTTATAATTAGAGATCAGAATATATATCCTATTTCCTTTTAATAGTAGTAATATATATCCTATTTCCTTCATTTACAGAATCATACTGTCCTTCAAGCTCATCTAATCTGGAAATTAAAATTTATCTTTTCTTTATTTTTATTTTTTTCTCTTGATCAAATTAATTAAACCGGTGTGTTCTTTTTTTTTTTTTTTTTTTTTGGTAAATAAAGACATTTTATTTAAAACATAGAACTTAGTAGTCATTACAACATGAGATTTATCTAGGCCACGCAGTGCCTATCCCATCTCTATCAAAAGCTNTAATAATAATGCCACATCGGCTTAAATGACCATACCCAGATTGGCTTATTTCCCTTCAACCCGATTTGACCTATACCCAAATGAGTTAGTAATATTAGACCTCAAAAGGAGAAGACAAGAATAATCATTTTATGCAAAAAAAAATTCTTTACAAAATAACTTTAATGCCATCAATGCCGAGAGTCTATCGGAAACAATCTCTCTGCCCTTCCAGTGGTAGGGGTAAGGCTACGTACTTTTGTGAAATAAACTCATAGTTCATAGTTGGATGACCACCAATGAAATTAACCCTTCTCCTATTTGTTAGGCCAGCTTAGTTTTTATTTTTATTTTTATTTTTATAATTATTTTAGGAGGAAGTGCATCTCATATTGGAGTCATTGTTTAAGCTGTAATCAAAGTTGATTTTTTTGTGGGCAAATTACCTATTTGAGAACACATTTAAGAATTTACATGTGATCACTTGAGAATTGAAGTTACAAATTTAGGGGTTCGAAATCGGATTTGAAACGCTTTTATCATTTCATAGTGAAATTTCAGTATTGGATCTGAAGTTCTTTTTTTTTTTGTGGTAAATAAAGACATTTATTTAAAACATAGAACTTAGTAGTCATTACAACATGAGATTTGTCTAGGCCACGCAGTGCCTATTCCATCTCTATCAAAAGCTGAAATAACAAACATAGGCGGATAATAGTACAACATTAAGTTAGCAAAAGAGTCCAAGCTGCATCCGTTCTTGGCTAAGGTATCCGCTACTCCATTAGCTTCTCAGAATGCATGCTTCAAAGGTGGCGAACCCGCCTCAGATAATAGGAACCTGCAATCATCAATAATATTTTGATAAAGGCAATTATCATTGTTTATCAAGTTGATTAGTTCCTGGCAATCCGTTTCAATGACTAACGGGGTTAGTCTCTTTTGGATGGCTAGTTTTAGACCTTGTAATAGGGTCATGACTTCCATTTGGATATTTGTAGCGTAGGCAAAGCCCATATTGAAGCCTAGTATCCAATTCCCATTGCTATCCCTGAAAATCCCTTCAATAACTTACAAATGTTTTTTATTTTGTTATTACAACTTAGTAAGAGAGTCCTAAGGATTGAGATCTTTTTTATAGGGAGCGTTTTACTCTTTTTGTAGACCTACACAATGTAAATTCGGATTAGTCAGGCCTTTTGAATACGTGGTTGTTAAAAAAAGTTCGGAAGGTAATTAAAAAGGTTACAAATACCTTTCAACTTTCGGTGAAAGCATTATTGAGGTTGAAAGTAAACTTAACAGTAGCCAGTAGGGTTGGGTCCCTCCATGTCTCCATCTAGTTTGAATTTTCCAAATTGGATGCAGCCACCAAGAAAAACCAGAAACATTTTTTTTTGGTAGGAGGGAAATCCTTAGCCGCTACAATCTCTGTCACAGCCTCTGCCTTTCTGGTGAGCATTCCGTAGTGAGCACTTTATGCACACTGGGTAAACCTTTCTTGAACTAACTTTTTATGCATCAAAAATTAAGAAATACTTTTAAAGTTTCGACGAGAGGGTTAAAAGTATGTTTAATCTCATTAATAAGTATGGTTACGTTGGTCCCTCGCTGTCCTCCTCGTTTTTGAATTTTCAAATAGGTCGCTGCCACAATGAAGAAACCAGATATACTTTCTTGTATGACTTGACTAAATGCAACAGAAAATTGAATTCTCAATCAAATGAAAGTATTTCTAATCACAAACAATCGAAAGAGTGACCACATGCCACTCTTTTCAAATTGGTCTCTCTTTCCACACTTTCACTTCATTTATTTTCCACTTAATTCAGCCCTGACAAAAAGATTGGAAGGCTGATTTTTCAACAAAGTTAATACCACCATTTACACAATGGAAAGTAAAAGGGAGGAACAAACAAAATAAACACATACTCCCTTTGGATTTTAGCCACTCACAGCAAATCCGCTGGAATTTATTTTCAATGTTTAATTCTGTCAAAGACGACCCAACTATAAAATAGAGTGATTCTGTTGTTGGTTTCTCAGGGTTTTTTCCAGTTACTAGTTAATATCCTTTACGTTGCATAAAAATGTTGGCACTGATGATTAAAAAAAATAGACCAAAGATCTCCCGGACGTGAATACAATAATTTTTATCCCAACATAATTCACATGAAACAACCACTAGAATTATTACCTAGTTGTTTGCAAATTTTAGACATGATTGTACATTAGCCACCATCCAGCATCATTCCATGGATGGCCCAAGTTCACTACTAGAAAATTGCAAAATTTCGACCACCATTACCGACCGATATCAGTCGGAATCAAGGAAAAGCGACCGATTTACGACCGCTTTTAATTCGTCGGAAGAATCATGGTCGCTAAGGTGTTGCAACCGAAGGAGGTCAAAATTTTCGATCGATTTCGGTCGGTTAATTCAACCGTTGGTTGACCGCTTTGACCATGACAAAATAATTATACCTACCGAAATCGGTCGAAATTATTTAAATTTTTATTTATTTATTTTTATAAATATCTGTCACGCCCCAAACTAGGGGAGGCACGACTGGCACTCGATACTGTATTCGATCAAGTTAGCCACTAAACATACTAGCTAACTAAACTGGGGGCGTAACAGATCGGACAGCACAACATCTGAAATACTAAGTATGGACCGTTAAGGTCATGACCTGAATAAGAATAAGTCATATAAACAAAGGTAGACAAGCCAAAATAATAAAGTACTAGCTGGCCAACGAGGCTACGGCCGGAGACATACATGCCAAGCCTATGGGCTGGAGACTGGAAGCTGCAAAAAGAAACCCAGAATACTATGTCCGCAATAGCCTCTAAGAGTGTCATAAGCACTGTCGGGACAAGACCCTGACTATACCTGAACTGTACAACAAAAGTAACCATCCTATGAAAGCTCCAGGAAGAGGTGGAGCTTACCAACTCACAGCTGAACCCCGAAATCCTAACGGAGGGGTCGACCAGAGTCACTACCTAGACCTGCACGCACGAAACAAAAATGCAGTGTCCCCAGGCAACGGGGCATCAGTACGAATAAAAATGTACTGGTATGTAAGGCAGAAAGTAGAATCATACATAGCTGATGTAAAAGAAAAAGTAATAGAGATACCACCTGACACTGAAACTCTGATAGCCTCTATGGCCGACATCCGACCTCATAGTAATCAAATATGCATGGTATGCTCGTGTAATCGTATGTCGTGAATACATATATATTGATGCAAATGCATGACATACCCAACCAAATGCTAGCAATGGCGGTCTCTCTCGGTAGCTAACCGGTATCATATTGCTAACATGTGGCCATCCGTACAATATATATAGTCTTTCGGGCAAATAGGCCCCTTACCTCCGATTATAGCTCGAAGTCCATGCATAATATGCCATGTATCATATGAACTTTGACTGCACATAATAGGCCATAACAAGAACTTAGCCAATCTTGGCTCATTGGTACACTTATTCTCATAATCTCATAATCACCTTCGTATCGCATACAATTGTCTCGTGGAACCGCATATGTTTTTTTTTGAATAAGCTTGAAAACTTAACTCGACTTTTAGAAAGATAACTTAACTCTGAAGATGTTCATAAAAAGCTTAAGGTACTTCACTTAGTCCTTATACCTGATTTCTTGATGGTTAGTAAAAGAAAGTATTTCAAAAATCAAGTGTTTTAGTAGTTTAAACATAAAAATTATATTTGAGATTTTTGGAAATCGACGTGCCACTTTAGTGATTTTAAAATACACTTTAACAAGGAAGAAGGACTGATCGCAAATACTAAATGCCTTTATTTTTAAGTCACACAACCCAAAGACGAATAAGATTTCATATATATAGACATATAGTTAAGAAAACCGACAAAATGACATATATAGATGTCGAATACCCTATTTAACCTAACGAGTAGAATATCAACCTAATAGCATCACGAAAATACTTCAGCTACGATCCCAATGCCTTTCACATAAGGTTTTTCTAGCAATAGAATAGTAAAATATCACATTTGGCGTCTTAGGAATTTCCCAGAATTCGTGCAAAAAGGAAGGACGGAGCTGAGCCTTAACATACCTCTCCAACGAACATCCGAATGCCTGTAGTTCCTTCACGAAAGTTGTTCCTTACGTCCTAAGCTTCGCAAACACTATATATATGCAGCTTATACGCACCTATAAATAGTTCATAATTGAGTTTAAATCGGCAGATTTGCCATATGACCCTAACTTGACGAAACGTCCGTAGAACTTTGTAAAAACGATCATAAAAGAGTCCCAAGATGATTACCTTGGCAAACCAAGTATAAAGCCTGAAGAACCAGCAAGAACAACAAATTCCTATCTTCCAAAAATAGCTCCAAACACAGCTAATAGAAGGGGAAATAATTGCAAAGTGTAGAGATTGTGTTTCTAGGCACGGGGGCAAACTTTAACGATAGAAATCGCTAAAAACGCACCTTAATCACTCAAGAACACCATGGAACCTTCCCTTCAGCTTGCTCACTGTTTTGGGACTAAAATGAAATGTGTTGAGGTCTTAAAAGTCGAATTTGCCGACTTATACCACTTGTTTGACCCGACCCGGTTCGCGACCCGGTTTCAGCCCGGACAGCCCGTGGTAAAACAGTCATAACTTTTTACTCCGATGTCGGTTTTATGTAAGGTTTCTTTGGTTGCGAACTAGACTCGTAGAACTTCGATTTGGTAGGTTGTGGATCCCATAACTCT